AGAGAGAGAGAGAGAGAGAGAGAGAGAGAGAGAGAGAGAGAGAGAGACAGAGAGAGAGAGAGAGAGAGAGAGAGAGAACAGCAATAAACCCAGAGACAGAGGATAGAAACAGTGAGAGGGAGTGTGAGGAAAAACAAAAAAGGTGAAGAAGAGTTATTTTTTACCTACGAAATCACTTCTTATTTAATCTGTGTGTGTGTGTGTGTGTGTGTGTTGCTCACCTCTGGTAGAGCATGCGGAAAGTGTCGTCCTTGCTGAAGGACTGATTGTCTGAGTGCATGGCGATGCGTTCGGGGATCCAGCCGGTGAGCGCGTGCAGATCGATGTTCTGTAACGCAGGAGAGATTAAAACATTTTCTCATTTTTATATTTCACGACCTACTTTTCTTGACAAGCATCAGACTTTGGTTTGTGTTCAGTATTACGTCTGCTGAGAGTGACTAATGTTATTTCAAGTGACTCAGAAGTGTTTCATTACAAACTCTCAGACTTGTCGAGCTCGTCTAATTCAACATGAATCACTCTGTGAATAGAATAAAGATAATTTAAACTTAAGCTCTGTCACACGGGGGTTTTTGCTCCTGATTCTCTGCAAATCCCTGGACTCGGTTTTCCCGTCAGCCGGTAAAATAACTGTTTTAATAAAATAGTTGCATCTCCCGGCGTCTCCGCCTGCACTCACCGAGTTGGAGCCGGGGAAGTCGTAGCCTCCCATCACCTTCATGTAGGCCTTCTCTATCAGCGACACCCACAGCTCGTTCCTGTTGCTGGAGTACGAGCACAGCAGCTCCCCGTTACGATCCACCGGCAGGTAGTCGTCGATGATCACCTGCAGCCGGGCGACACGGGCAGGTGGAGGATCAGGACTTTGACTAAAGATTAAGATTAAGCTAAATCAGAATTCACATTTCTGTGAATTAAAGGGCCAGTGTTCAGCATTTCGGGGATCTATTAGCAGAAAAGGAATGTAATCTTCAGAACTATGTTGTTAGTGGTGTATAATCACCTGAAACATAGAATTGTATGTTTTGTTCCCTTCATATCTAAAAAGGGAGCAGGTGCTCTTCATGGAGTCGGCCATGTTTCTACGGTAGCCCGGAACGGACAAAACCAAACACTGGATTGTTCTTAACGACACCCGAGGGCCACCGTAGTGCTCCGACATGCTTGTGAAACCACGGTAATGTCAACCACGGAGTGCAAAACTGAGCCCAAGACCTGTGTGTGTGCAGAACATGTGTGTGTCTAATAGTGTAGCGTCAGCGTTTTACTTCTACAGGTGAACTGTTGAACTCTGGTTCTTTGTCTTTTACCTTCCTGGGAACTCCGTTGATGTGAAGCTTGACCATGTATTTCCCACAGGGGTTATACTCCGGCTCCCCTCGTCTGTTCTGAGGGTAGATGACGCTGTAACACACACACACACACACACACACACACACACACACACACACACACA